TGGCCGAAATTTTATCAAAATGCATGATCCTCGTAGCATACCTGAAATGTAATGAACACAAATGGAAGAATCGAATTAAATGATGACTAGAGACACCCATCCACTTACTGATATGATGGCACCACATCAGCCACAGTGGGTGTTCGAGTTTTTCACTTTTAGCTCTCCCTCGTGCATCTTCTAAAGGATTTGAGTTTAAATAGAATTTATATAAATTATCAATAGAATAATAAAAATTCTAAAGGAATACTATTTTATATTATCTCATCTATAACTATTAGAAAAAACTATTAGAAAAAAACTAGTGAACATCAGCACGCCGTTGCCATTAAATCTTCCATTCAGAAGATGAAAGTGTAGACCAAAAGAGGAAAGCTAACTCTACTGCCATTGACAGTCATTCATGATAACACAGGCAGGTATATAAAGCTCTATTATTTTTTTTTGAAATGTCTAAAGGCGGATTAATATAAAGTTAACAAATAGCGTGATCAGAAATTTAATAAGATAATTAATAAATTCGGTAAAGTATTATTGAAAATGTTGACAGACTCATAATGTTGTAGGTGGAAAATATAAATATTTATTAAAAAATTGTAATCGGTAAACTTTAGTTATCAATAGGTATCGATACATATATATAAGTATCTATACTTATTTTAATATGGAAAATATTAATTTAGGGTTACCTTTTGAGTGAATTTTAAAATATTAATTTAGTAATTATAAGTGTTTAATGACTTGTTTTTATGTTACGGTATTTATTATTATTAAATTAAAAAAAAACATAAATATTCCATATGTATTATTATTTTTAGTTAAAATTGTTAAATTTAAATTCTAAATAATATTTTATAAAAAATCTAAATAATCAAACAACTTTTTTTGTAATGAAATTATTAAATTAATGTTGTAGGTGGAAAACACGAAGAACTATTAAAAAAAAATTGAAACATAAATTGCAAGCTTTTGTATCCATTCTTATTTTAAAAGTATGGATATTGTTTCGATAGTAAGTTATGTTTCCAATATTCTTATCTATCATCCGTGTCTTCTTTGAGTTATCTTTGAGTTTTTTGTTACTAGAAGACTTATAGAGAAGGACTACATTCTTATAATACCCTTAATTTGTATGGTAGTGATTTCTGATCAATTTTGACATTTAAAATATTTATTATAATACCAAACATAAAATATAATATTATCTAACTTGATAATATTAAATTATTTGAAGAATGATATCTTAGATTTGATAAAATTCAGGTTAAACAATCAGGAAAAGATTAAATATTTTAAAATATGAAGGTAAAATGATAATTTTTACCTAAAATAAAGTCAAAGAAAATTTTTAATATCTAAAAGTAGTTTATTTAGTAGGGACTACAATAAATAAAACATGCTAAGTCAACACTTCAAGAATTGTATTTGTGAGAAGTGTGAACAGAGGAAACCAAGAAAACCTTGTATCACGTGAGGGCCGAGGAAATACTATATATTAGCATAGCATAAAGTCGTAAACACACTCTTAAACGAACCAAAAATCCTTCGTGCGTCTCTCCCTCCCATGGGTTTAAGCAAAATGGCTTCATCCCGACCACCGTATTTGTCATTTCAGTCTCTTCCACCGCCACCTCCACAACCGACGTAAGAGATGCTTGGAGTAAAAGTGTGATATCTTTATTCTTCATTTCTTTGCTTTTCTTTTAACAACAAATTTGTCCTCTATTTTTTATAAGCATGTAAAGCAGAGATCCTTTTCCAAGCAAGATTGGTATTGCCAACCTCTTTGTCTATAATAGGTCACTTTCTTGAATGGAATCTTCAGCCCTTTTGGGAATATTCTTTACTGCTGAAGAAAATGGCAAGATTGTTGTTGATTAGTGATTTGTTTAGTTATTATTTCATCTTTAATTACTCCTTGTTGATAAAGTAATGTTGTTGATTTGGGTGTTTTTATTTATTTTCTATGCAGAACGTTGAATTCCATGAACAACACTAAAAAATGAAATTATGCAGTTTTATTTTTCTGGAGTCAAGTATGGAATAGTGGGCGTGACTAGATGCATGACAACGTCCGACTTGACGTCCAATCAGCAGCTTCTAGAAGACGGTCCAGTCAACGTTTCTAGAAGGGCGGATGACTCGGCTACATTTTAAATTCGAATTAGGAATTATCTTTTGTTTTTAGTTTTTAATTTGAATATTTTCCAAGAATTATCTTTTGTCATTTCTTCTTCATTTTTAGAGTTTTTTTAGAAATATAAATATCCATCGGGGTAAGCATGAAAGATATCTCGAATTTAGCTTTGTTCTTTGCTCTCTAGTTTTATAAAAGTTTTCTTCTTTTCTTTCTATTTTGCTTTTTTACTTTTAAGTTAAATTTTCTTTTCTTTAAAACATGTTAAGTATGATTTCTATCATGCTTAGCTAATTTTACTATAAGCAGAAGACTTAAGCGGTGACTCAATTCCAATCGTGAGGTATTTCCTATAAAATTAAAACATTTTTATTTTAAAAAGTCGACGTTGATTTGAATGTTGTTTTGATTTAAAAAGACTTAAACGATTCTCATTGAGACAACATAATCCAAATCGGGCTTTTCCAAAACTGAAATTGTATTGGTGTTGGCTACGACAGTCGTAGTTAGTCCAAATAAGGACTGATTTTGGATTGTTGATTTACCGGCGAGCAAAGCAAGTTATAAGGGTTGGACCTTGTAGACTGTAACCAACATTTACACATCATCTTTGATGATTAATTAGAATTGAGACGAAGCAAAGCATGGGACTGTTTTACTTAATTAATCTTTCTTCTTAAAAATTTACATAGCTTTATTTCTTTTACTTCTAAATCTTGTTTTCTTTAAACTCTTGTTCTCTTTCTTATTATATTCATTTTATTATTCTTGGTTATCTCTCAACAAAAAACCCCCCAGTTTATTTATTTTCTTGTCAAATTAGAATCAAGAACTTTTTATATCAGAATTTTTAAATTCCTTGAGGATCGACCTTTCTTATTTATATTACGCTTATTTATTTATTCTTTTGAGATTAGGAATAAATTATTTGATAGTACATGACACTTGTCAGTTCTTCATGATATAGTGCTTACAGACAAGAAGTTGTACGTATATTCTTTCTTTTTTAGTCTAATTTATGCACATTAGAGGAATGCCCTAGTTATGGTCCTGGTTTATGCGAGCTGTGAAAGTGTCGTCTGTTTAGTTTTTCGAACTCTTGTGAGAATCAACTTTCGTTTGCAATTGTCTGATGTATCCTTGACGGCGGTATTGTTGCACTCTTTCTCCTTTATTTAAGGATAGAGAATTTTTTTAATGAGGCACATGCCGTGTTGTATGTGTATTAGCATACAAATTTCTTCTATGAAAAAGAGTAAGGGCAGGCCTAGTATGGTTCACAAAGGGCAAGTACACATAGTAGGAAATGAATACTTGTTCAATTTTAACTGATTTTTGCAGATTGGGGGTTTTAATTGGACTAAATGGCATGGTAGATATAAATAACACGACCACAGAGGTACACGAAAAACGCACTAAAAATTATAAGGAATGCGACACAAGAATGATAAATTTTTATCATTTAAAATATTTATTATAATACCCTTAATTTTTATGATAGTGATTTCTGATAAATTTTGACATTTAAAATATTTATTGTAATACCATAAGTAAAGTATAATATTTTTTAAGTTGTTAATATTAAACTATTCGAAGGTCTCCTACGGAAGCTGCTCTCAACCTAGCGTTGGGGCAGCCTACTATCCTACCTCCCCTTGTCCTATTACATATGGGAATAAAGGGTCAACTGATTTTACAGTAGATAAGGTCTCTGTAAAATTTGATCTGGATTAATCGGTCAAATAGATCAAATATTAATGATTAATTCAAAAAAAAATTATTTAGTAGAGATTTATGTAGATAAGACCTGAATAAAACATGCCAAGTCAACAAGTCAAGGATTGTATTTGTAACAGGTGTGAACAGAGGAAACCAAGAAAACCTTATCATGTGAAGGCTGAGGAAATACTATAAATTAGCATAGCGTACTAAACTAAACTAAACACACCCTTAAACGAACAAAAAAGTCTTCGTCTCTCCCAAAGGTTTAAACAAAAATGGTTTCATCCCGACCACCGTCTCAGTCATTTTGGTCTCTTCCACTGTCACATCCACAACCGGCGTAGGAGATACTTGAAGTAAAAGTTGATGTAAGCGTAACAAAGAGATTTTTCAGTGTGGTTGGTCCCATCGCCGACATTCGGCTTCAAATCTCTGTCGTTGGTCCCATCATTTCTCTTCGTCTTTGCCACCGCACTAGAAAATCCCTTTGTCATGCTTACCTTAATTTTTACTCAAATTATAATGCTTACTTTTTCTTGCCTTCATTTTTTTCGAAGCTGTTTCCTTTTCTTGGTGTCAAGAATTGGGTTGTTTCTTGTTTATTTTATGTGAATCTGTTCAAGTAAGTATGATATCTTTATTCTTCATTTTTCTTCTTCTTTTAACAACAGATTATCCTCTGTTTTCGATTAACTTGTAATGCGAAAATCCTTTTCCACTTTCAATAAATCAAAGAAGTATAGCTTAGAGTTAAAATAAAAAAAAATAGTGAGGAAAGTGTATAATATTATAATTGTATTGTGTATCAGTAAAAATATTATGTTACCCTATTAAAATATACTCTAAATAGCTAGTCTCCTATTGGAAATATTAGAAGTCTAATAATATTTTTTTTGAATTAATCACCGGTATCTAATCTATTTATTGACTAATCCAGATCAGGTTTTGCACATGCTCATACACAAACGTCAAAATTCAAACATCTGACCTTGCTTAAGGAATATAATATCTTATCCCACTAAACATGTTGCTCTTTTTTTTATATATGAGATAAGAAATTAAAAGTTCAAAGTTAAGCATAGTTGAAATATCATAAATTTATCTAGCCTATGTTGTAAGGACAACAAATTTCATATTACAAAAAAAAAAACTAGAATTAAATACTATTTGAAAAGAAAATATCATCAATGTTAAAAGAAACAACCTAAATAAGATAACAAAACCACCATCCCTGCATTTTTAAGTTTAGAACTGGTTGAGTAGCACCGACTCCTAGTGGTGCATTTACATTAAATGAGATTCTCGTGATGGTTCTCCGTGCAGTTTCAGTGATGGTGGTGAAGGCTCTCGGTGACCATTCTCGGCTCCTCTAATACTAAGCTGAGACATACCAACTAGTTCTTCAAGCTCTTCGGGCGTATTTGCAGCCTAGAAAAGAATAAAAAGTTATAATCATACAAAATCAATATCTTGTATTCAAATGGAACATTTATATTCTATAGTACGATCAAAGTGATTGTTTTGTAAGACGGACCATGTCAAAAAGGCTTGAATGTCTCTTTCTTGGTGTAAAATTATTTTGACGGGTGAAATACTTCTGGGCGTGACTTGCTACCTGAGTAGACGTCCTTGACATAACAAACATCCGGGCTATACCTCGCCAGTCCCCTTTCCCTAATGTCTGGAGGCCAACTAGAAACAGCCGATGCTCCTCCTCGGTCCATGGGATACCTGCGAAACAACCAAATTTAAAAAGAACATAGAAAATTCTACATAACTATTGATAGAAAAAGAGCTAAACTAGGTTAAGGCAGGCTAATTAGAAAACAGGAAGGAAACAAAAAATACCCGCTTTCAATAAATCAAAGAAAACCGAGCAAAAACATGAAATAATCTCTTTCTTCAGCTTTATTAAGCTTAAAACGCATGCTGGATTAATAACCGTTCATTACCAAATCATGGGATCAAAAAAATCAAATAAATTAAACTAAAAAATATTGCACTATACATTTTTTTTTATCACCATTAACAAAGTGTGATTACATAATTATAATCTTAAAAGATAATAGAACTTGGTACTCAAATTTTCTTAGACAACTTTCTGCTGAAAATGAAAGAATTCATGTATTAGACATAAATTGCCTAAATGATAAGGCACTTGAGAAAGTAACAAAGTAAAGAATTAATAAAGAGAGAGAACATTTTGCAATGGAAGTTCATACATTTGATTAACATGAGGGATTAAATAAACATTTTTTTCATTTACTCAGAAACTAAGATAAAGAAACAAAATCTATCAAATCCCAGAAGTAAATAAACAAGTTGATTGACCATTAATATACTATAAAAATTATAATTAGAGTTAAATCCTCGAGGGGGGCGTTTTGGACTATTCACCTTTCTTTATCTCTCCGCGATGATTGGTTGAGACGCGTGCGGCGAGGTCATCAGAGAGGTAGCAACAGGGATCGTGGTTCGGGTGACGGACGTGATACAATAAAAAAGAGTCCGGATTAGGCGAAGCGGCGGCTGATGATGGGCTATGGTAGTGCGCAGACGACAAGTTTCCCATAGTAGCACTCTTTTTTATTATCGAGCTGTCCGTCAGACGGACTCCGAATAGCTTAACTCCACCGCCCGTGGGACACGTGCGGGGGTTGTGGCCGTTGTTGACGCAATGCGGGCACCGCCGAGTCATGATTCGTCCGAGGCAAAACAAAAGGAGATAATCAAAATCTACAGTTTTTTATTTATCTGTTTCTGCAAATAATATAGAATAAATAAAAACAAAATGAATATAGAGAGATAAAGAAAGTTTAGCTTTAGTGAAAATAAATCGAAATGATGATGCTAATTCTTCTCTTTGTAAGTACCGGGATATTTCTTGTTCTTAATTCTCTTGTAAGTAGAATGTTTCTGTAACAGAACACTACTGTTTGTAGCAGGTTCTGTTCTCGTAGAACACTGGTTAATTGGGTAATGAAAATTGATGATTTATAAAATAAAAAAAATTAGCTTTAGTGCATGGAAATTGAAGAGAGAAGACGGATTATAAAGTGGAGAGAAAAGATGAAAAAGGGTACTTTTGGATATTTCATTGGAGAATTACCCGGTCTCCGTGGATCGTCATTGTTGGATAGAATTGAAATCACGGATTTACCCTTGAGGAAAATAACGTCCTGCTTTCATAAATGCGAATATTATATTTATGTGTTAAATATGTCTATTATCTGTTTAAGTATATTTGATTATATATAGGACAGATTGTGGTAGAATTTCTATCCAAATATTTTAGTATATCGTTATATATCTTTAATTAAAATTTAAATAAATGACATATGAGATAATATAAAGTTGGATGTGAAAGAAGTCATGATAATTATTTTCAAATTCAAATGTCAAAAATTATCTAAATGTTTTAGATAGGATTAAAATTATTTGAACAGATAATTATACTTTCATACGTATCATAATTTTTTAAAAATTCACTTATCTCTAACGAATTATATTAAAAAAACTTTTAAAAAAGCTTAAGTATACTAAATAATGTGAATACACTATTGAGAAAAAAATTGAAATATGAATAATTTCATTTTATTAAAAATCTTATTTTTGTTCAAATATATTTTCACATGAATTTTAAATCTTCTGTTATCTATACATAAATTTTACTATGAACCCAGATGAAATTTCTTTAGTTTTTTTTTTTCTACTTTCATGCTGTTGAATTGCTTGAATTGTTCAAGGTTGCATTATGCTATGTATGCTTAGCAAGATCTCTGCGAGGATTAAAATCCGAAACAAAAACACACAAATACATTGGAGAATTCAGTACCCACTTGGCCAATAAGGTCGAAATGGTTTTCGGAGCTCCTGCGGATGTTTTTCGTTTTTATAAGGCAGTAAAGGCGGAGGCATGTTCTCGATACCCTTACCGGTAGCTTTGGTAGCCAGGGTCGTACATGCAGTTCTCAGCATACTTCACGAGATTGTGGGGACGAGGCTGGCGAGTAGCCAAGCCTATCATCAAACAATGGGGTAACGAAATTAAGATTCTATAAAAGATGGGAGTTGCATATCCTATCATATTATCGATAGAGGAAAGAATTTTACCGAGTTCATATGCTTTAGCTGCCACATCGGCTGCAATATGAGCTGAAATCTTTCTGATATTTCTGAATGGTGGGTAAATTTGTCCCTTGTCGAAGTTCTCCTGTGTCACCTGTGCGGCCAAAGCCTCCGCTGCGCAAAGAAACAAAGAAAATGTAAGGATAAACACCATTGCTCATTTATCCGTAGCATCTTATGGTGCGAGTTGTCAACCGAAACTCCTGAACTTTAAATATGAACTTACAGGCTGCCAGCAGCATATCGTCATGAACACGGATTGCACCAGACATTATTAAACCCAGACCAAGGCCAGGGAAGATGTATGCATTATTTGCCTGTAGGAGAGAAATATAACTCAAATTAGCCATCGATGCAAGACATAACCAAATATGGAGGAAAAACAGCTTTAGGTACCAACCTGCCCAGGCACGAAAACTCTTCCGTTGTATTCTACAGGATCAAATGGGCTTCCACTGGCAAATATGGCTCGACCCTGAAAGCAATCAAAAAAAGGGAATAACCATTCAGTGTTACATTGTTTATAGTCACTCTAAATAGATTGAATGTTGAGAAATGCAACAAGAAAACTGCACGACTGATTTACCTGACTCCATGTATAAGCTTCTTCTGCGGTACATTCCGATTGTGAAGTTGGATTAGAAAGAGAGAATATAATAGGTTTCTGCAAGCAGTCACATAAACAACGGATCAGTTATGGCTTGATTGTTTCACTTATTTATAAAGAAAACTTATCGAGAGATACGGTACTTCATTCAAGGCAGACATAGCCTCGACCACTTCTTTATTAAATGTCCTTCCTACTCCTGATGTTCCGATCAACACTGTTGGTTTGATTCCCTGTAAAAATAAGACAAAAGATGGAAAAGCCTAAGAACCTTCACTTTTTTATTTGGTGGGAGTTGAGGGGCGAGAAAAGGAAGATGAAAGGGAGAGATTCACACATTAACAACATCGACAAGATTCTTGACTGGTTCATGATCGTGAGCCCAGGGCTTTTTGAAATGCTGAAGTGTGTCGATACGAGATTTAACAATCAAACCCTGCCAAAAGAATAAAATGAAGGCAAGTTTAATCACTGTAATGAAGAATTATCTGCTTTTTCGAGAGAGTTAGATCAGATGTTTACAACCTTGGAGTCCACAAGCGAAATCTTCTTGCGAGCCTCTTTGAGTGGCATGTTCACCTGCATGTATAATCAAGTATTACTTCCAAGATGTTCATCTAATATAAAACATATTATAAAAACCATGATGATTAGTGCTGAAAGTAAAACCTGTTTTGAAATTTCAAGAGCTATAAGTTCTGCTATGCCGGTACCAGCCTGCAGATCACCAAATAAAAAGTTGGGTACAGCAATAAATGGCAGTCCGTATAGAAAAAATAATAGAGATCGGAATCAACTATTTTCAACAAGTTGCAACAGAAACTCACCTCTCCAGCACCAAGGAATAAGAATCTATGATCAGCCAAGGTTCCACCAACAACTTTTAGTGCAGCAACAAGCCCTGCAAGGACAACGGATGCCGTTCCCTGCAAAAAGGGTAATTTACCAAAATCATAAATGAAATTTTTACGCTTAATTGATTTAATAAAACTAATTTTAAATGCTAACCTGAATATCATCATTGAAAACCAGATGTGTTGGGCTATATTTGGCAAGCAAATCAAATGCATTGTGGTTTGCGAAATCTTCAAACTGCAAAAATAGTTCAAGATTCAGAAAACAATAAACTTGATGTATAACCAAACACATAAGTCATGTAATACAGCCAATATTTCATAGATGTCTTTGTTTGGGTCAACTTACCTGAATGAGAACTTTCTCCCCGTAGATCTGCTTGACTGCAGTCATGAATTCGTGCATAAGTTCCGCATATTCCTAGAATCGAAAAGCATAAAACCACGTTAGTATAATTTTTTATTGCCTCCAAAACTAAAACTAACCAAGTGCATTAGGAGATAACGTACCTGCCCAGTAGCTCTCCTTTGCCTAAGCCCTATATAAAACTCGTCATTCAACAATTTCTCATTATTCGTACCCACATCAATGGTTACAGGCAAGCACTGCAAACAGTAGCTAATGTATTATCCAAAACATTAGAATATATCACCAACATGGTTAACAGTAAGATATAGCTCATTATGAGGCTTGTCAATGGAGCTGACACCATTACGTACAAATAAAGCAAGGATGGCAATTACTCATCATTATGGGTACTTACAGCAGAAGGACGAACTCCTCCTAATGCAGTGTATAAAGAAAGCTTCCCTATAGGTATTCCCATTCCCTGAGGATACAAATTAACATTACCGAGTCAACGACACATGAGGCATAGAGAGAAGAGAGAGGCAATTATTGGTATATTGCCACCAAGTATTTATACCTGACAGCCAAGGTCCCCAAGGCCCAAAATCCTTTCCCCGTCAGTTACAACAATGACTTGAATATTCCTCTGAGGCCAATTTCTCAAAACTTCACGAATCTTCCCCCTACAAAGGATACGTGCCAGATTAATATGCGAAATAAGCACAAGATTCAAGAATACCAGCTATAATCCAAGGAACCAGTTCTCATATGACAAACGTACTTTTCTTTCAAACTGATAAAAAGGCCTTGAGGGCGCCTGAAAATGCTCCCATACTTCTGGCAAGCTTTACCAACAGTTGGCGTGTACACAACTGGCAGTAACTCCTCAACATTGTTGATGAGAAGTTTGTAGAACAGGCGTTCATTTAATTCCTGAAAACGAGAACAAAACGGAAATCAAGTCAAATGCGTCAACGTCTTTCATGGAAATTGATTAAAGCACCAATCATTATTGTTCTATGATAACAATAACGCATAAAATTTTTTACAATAGAGTGAAATAGTCACCTGCAAATCCATCATGGCCATGTACTTCTGCAGAGGAACTTGATATTGGCGGATACTATGCATCATTTTCTTGACCTTGTGAATTGCAGTAATGTAGTTCTTTAAAAAATTGCACGGTTATCAAATAAAGGTAAAAAATGATGTGCAAGCAGGGTAGATAACCTGAAGGTCTTGGGAAATAACAGTCGGGGGAAGAAGACCGCGCAAGTAATAAGCATCTCTTTCTTTCTCATTGAAGGCAAGTCCTTTGTTGTGGTGAGGATCTCGCAACAACGAATACCCACTGCAGCCGACGAAGAAGAGCTTAGACTTTAAAAGAATTTGAAATCAAATTCATATTGGATTTAGATATTAGAGTGGTTCATTGAATATATGACTCGTTCTAGCATCATAGTAATTCCATTGAATCGACGCAACGGCAAAACAACAAATCGAAGACCTGAATTGGTCATTGTTGGCCACAACATCAAGATCTACCAGTCAATATAAAACACTAAAATCCACAACAAGGGCATCAAAATAAATAAATAAAACCAACGCTTCGACAAAGACAATGATACTAGATCTGAGAAATATTAAGCTCATAACAGAGAATAAGACAAAAAAAAAGGAAAATGAAAAATGAAAAGAACTGTTGTGAAAGGGAAAGCAAAAAACAATTTACCTGGCGACAGAGAAAGACCAAGGGGTGACAAGTTGATCGTCGGCGGCGGCGTCATCGTATGAATCCTCGGTGTCTTCGCCGGCAACGGTAGAAGTGGAGTCCACGTCAGCAACAGAAGAACTGCCATCATCTTTGATTTCTTTCAATGGGTTGCTGTTCTCAACCAAAACACTGCTGTTTCTGTCCTTGTTGGGGCCTAAAGCAGTCACTTTAACTGAAGCTGGCGGCAGTTTCTTCAACTTGTAAGACAAAGGACTTGAAGACCCAGATATGCCAGTGTTGTTCTGTTTCAAAAAAAAAATCGTTCTTTAAATAATATATGGTAAATCTGAAAATTTTATAGGAATAAAATGATTTTTTAAAAGTTGTATTTTGGAACGTAAAAGAACTACAAAAAAAATTACCTTGAACTACATAGAACAAAAAAAGGGGTAAAACGATATGATTTCCAAACAAGAAAAAGACTGGAGAAAGGGGGGAAAACATGACAGAGATATAATAACTTCTAAAACTTTAG